TTAAATTTTTAACAATGCGATTAAAATTATTTTCAATTTTTCTTTCTTTAAATTTAAATAATTTAAGCATACCTTCTTTCAAATCTTTAACATATATTTCTAATTGTTCTCTGATTTTACTCTTTCCTTGATTATAAAGAAAGTCTTTCACTATATTTCCTTCATTTGATGATTCTTTTAATGAGATGTTTATCTAAAATTAATTTAACTTATCAAAACAATGATTATCAAAATATTATAAATTCTATAATTTTAATTTTAATTTGAAGTTGCATCACTATAAATTAACTAAAATAAAAATGATTTATTGTGTAAGATGTTTCTAAACTCAATGTTATTAGTGGTACTTTACACTACACATTTTTGTGAAAACATTTTATAAAATATAAGACTCTTTAATTTTTTTTTTTTTAGAGTAGTTTATTCCCATGTTATTCCCAACCTTGTATAAAGTTAAATTTGTATTGATATTATCAGTAAATTTAGTGGAATAGTTTATCGTCCAATTAGGATTTTAATACTCAAAACTGTGTAAAGCATAATAAATTAAAAGTATTTTCTTAATTATATAATGAAATAATACTTTCTAAAAACTTAAGCACCTAAAAACCCTCTTTTGATTTTTTTAATTCACTACTATACACATAACAATAAGTTTTCCCCTTTAATAAATATAGGATATTTATATATTTCATTAAATTATTATTAAATATTCAAAAAGACAATGATGTAAAAACAAAGACTACTATTTGAGGTATAGCCATCTTTATCAAAACAAACATAGAAAGCAAGAACATATTACTAGTTACCCAACATAAATCAGTAGCAACATTAATCATGTAATTAATCAAAATAATTATTTATATGTAATTTAAACATTCTAGATAATACTCTCATCACCAAAGAATATATTGAAGATATAATAAATAAGTTACCAAAACCATTCATTCTAATAGGCGACTTCAACAATTTCAATATAATATGTGGTTGCAACTACACAGATACCAATGCATTGAAATAGAAAAANTATGTGGTTGCAACTACACAGATACCAATGCATTGAAATAAAAAAATTATTTAATGAAGGGTCTCTCATTCTATTTAATACCAAAGAACCTACTAGACATAATGCAACTAGTGGAAGTCTATCTACAATAGACCTCAATATAACTAATATAATTTTTAACAAGAATAAAAAAGGCATTCAATCCACATTAAAGTTAATGAGTTCTCTACTAGACTTTACTAACAAAATCTATATACTTAAACTAATTTTGGACCACAAAATGTCATGGAAACTTCATATTTCAAATCTCAAAACAGATTGTTCAACTAAAATGAAAATTGTCAAATTATTATGTAACAACTAATGGGATACCCAAACAAATGACCTACTCACTATTTACAAGTCACTAATTCTACCCAAAATTAACTATATGTCTATTGTGTATAACTCCAAAAAGAAAAATTTACTAAATACATAATCAGGAAATTAGACTGGCAATATGTGCTTTTAGAACTGTCAGTATACTTTGTAATGCAGGAGAAATTTTTTTAAAATCACTAATATTTTCTTCACAATACACTCCCATCTAATAATAGTCCTAACCTAAATACTATTTATGAAATCTTTATTAAATACAGTGGAAAAAATAGAATACCCCACAAAAACATTTAAAAGAACATTATCTAATATTCCCCCTTGGTTTTAGTCACATACAATAAATATCTAACAAACAGAAAACTGCAAATATACCTATCCAAAGTAAATGGTTCTAGACCAATTTAACAAAATCATATCCCTATATGAAAACTATAAAAAAATATATACAGATGTCTCAAAAACAAAAGTAGGAATAAATTTTGCAGTTATATAATGAAGACAATACAAACCTGTCATTTACATTACCACCAAATTCTTCCATTTACACTGCAGAAACATACGCGTTATAAAGAGTTAAAATAGCTTCTTCTTTATTAAATCCCTTTTCCAAAAATGAACTAAATCAAACACATTCAAGAACTCATCTCCAACAGATTACTAGTTTTTATGTAAGTACTATCACACATGGGCATACCAGGTAATGAAAGAGCTGATACAATTTTTCTGGGATAAACTACCAATGTATCACTATCAAACAAACTAAGAAATATACAAACCAAAAATCAACATTGAAATTAAAAGAAATGAAGAAATAACCATTTCAAGACTTAGAATAAGTCATACCAATCTAACTCATGCATGTCTATTTAGTAAGGATCCCCACCATCCTTTGATACATGCCAGATCCACCCATTAATCGAAAATATTATAAATTACTGACCAAAATACACCAATAACACAAAATTAAAAATTCCCCATAACTTAAAAACAGCACTGAACGATGATTATTCAAGAATAACATACTCTTTTTAAATGAAATAATTATTGTAAATAAATTGTAATACTTTTTAATTACATTTAAATTATTTGTAATTTGATGTAATTTTAATTACATTGTTAAGTAGGCTAATAAACTTTGTTATTCAAGTCTTTTCTGCTTAAAAAAAAAAAAGACTCCAATTAAATTTTTGTAAGATAATTTTTCTTAATAATTTTATTTCAACTAGACCAGAATACAAAGACTAATAGATACCTTAACTAATTAACAATTAATTAAAATCTTTCATACCTCAACTTCAGATATACTATTTTCTTCACTTAAATTAGGTATATTAATTGTGCCTTCAATTTGTTTATCAGCACCACTTAAAAATCCTTTCCATGATAATGTTAAATCCCATTCGTAAAAGAATATCAATTTGCCTTTTCTATTATTCGCAACAGCTTCTCCTTCACATGTATCAATCTTATGTATTTCACAATTGACAACATCATTTTCTATTACCAATCCAATAAGTAATGAATTTAGTTTTTCCTTTGACCATTGACAGGCATTCTTTTCAGTCCTGTAAAAAAAATTAATACTAAAATTAAATTTGGATAAAATCCCAATTGTGAATTTAGAACTATTAAATAAAAAATTGTATTAGGATTCAAAAAAAATATTTTAAAAAAACATAAATCTCAAAACTTTATAAACATTTTTTTTTTTTTATTGCAATTACTTTTCCATTAAAGCTATACTTAATTTATTAAATCTATTTCACAACTTAAGGTATATTTTTACACTGAACAAAATGGTCTTATTACATTTTATTTATCTTAATACTTTGTTCAATTATTTAACTAATCACAAAAAACAAAGTAACAAAACAAAAGTTAAAAAATAATAATTACGGTTAAAATTTTATGAAAAGTATTCAGAACTTTCTGATATAACTTTATTCCATCCGTTTTATACCCTGAGGAAATCTTTATCTTTGTTCATTATTATGATTCAAGTTATATAGGAATTTAAGAAAATAAGAGTACATGTATTACAGTATCTTTCTTTTTTTACCTCGCCTTAGTCCAACTACTTTGGGTTGGCCAAGTAGTTGGGATTATACAAATACAGTATAATACATATATTACAACCCAATGTACAATAGTTTTTTAACATCCAATTAACAATGTCTACTTAATTTTAATTTTTGTTGAGTTCTCAAAAATTTTTTAATAAAATCCAAGAATTTTTCCAATATTTATGATGAAATTTAATAAATTATCCTACATAAAAATGTTTTCACAAAATTGTAATCATGTAAAACTAACCCAACCTAAATTATGTATTAAAATGCTAGTATCTTAACAAGTACTAATCCTGAAATTGTTACTGACCCATCAATTTTTTTGAAAGAAAAGAGCTAATAATAGCCACTTAAAAAAAACAATAAATTTTATATTATTTATGTATTTTTTTTTTTACAAATAATAAAAAATAAGTTTCCAATCTGATCTAAACTGTAAAATTTATTATAAAAAAAAAAGTAACAAAATATTGGTTGGATCAAAAGTTATTAAAAATATCAAAATCTAATATGACACTTAGTCTAAAACTTTTGAGCCAAAACCGTTGAAATGTAATAAATGACTTAATAAGATAACATACATAACAACTTCATAATATCTTCTCACATGTATAATTTAAATATTGAATTGATAAAATAAATCTTTATTAAGTTGTTCAATAGATAAAAATAATAATTAAATAACTGAATTGTTTTGGTTACATTAATAAAATAAAACTAAACCAAATTAATAAAGCATTATCAATTGAAGCAGTCATGATAGAATAAAATTTATTTATTACAATTTTTACAAGTTTCATAAAACAAAAAACTAATGTTTCTTAAAACTATAAAAAAAAAACATTTTTAGCCAATTTTGGAATAGTTGTTTTCATTATAATATATAGATAGAAGATTAATAAGTTATGACATTCAGAATTAGTACTAAATTTTAATTAAATGTGAAATAATTTTAAATTGTGAAGAAGTTGAATTTTCTAGACAATATAAAAGTGAAAAAAATTACCAATGCCAATTATTCACATTTGTAGCATCAGGTCTCTCTTCTACAATCCAACGAGGATCTCCTTCTCCCCATTTAGCCATCTAAAAATTTTCAATTTTTTATTTTTTAGATAAGTAACGCATATAACAAAAATAAAAATTTCATTCTTGATAATTTATTAAGTTTAAGTTATCTTACCGTGTATAACCAGTGAAAAAAATAATTAACAAGTTTTAACTAAGAAAGTAAAATTAATCACAGTTGCTTTGCTCTAAAATTATCTAAGGATATATATATATATATATATCAAGTTAAATTTCACGTTTCAGTGAAAATACCATCGACAAAAAAAAATAAACCATAAAAAATAGAACTGAAATTGGAATATTCTAGAATCTTCAACAGTATAACCTTAGTGATAAGGCATTAAATTACTAATTTGTCGTATCTAGTAGCACACACTGTTTTACTTAGTTAAAAGATACGAATTTTTAAGGTTAAGATGTTTTATAACAGATTTATATAACATTTTGGATTTTTTACAGTTTGCAGAATGATTTTGTTTATGAACCACGTATTAGAAAAATATAAATAATATTAAGAACTTTAATTTATGTTTTTCTCAATTTATTAATCACACAATATTTTTTTGTTTATCTTTTATATCTTACAAACTTATGAAGCATATAAAGTAATAAATTACTTATACAAACAAATGATTAAAGCTTATTTATTAGATAATAATCTAATTAAGATAATGACTGACTGATAACAACTTTTAGACCAGTATTTCGAAAGTTATTAGCATTTTAAAATATAGTCTTGAAATGAGACAAGGATATTGTTATTTTTATCACTAATCATTTCTCTGCCGCTCGCGATTAGGTATAAAAATGTCTTGCTCATATAAATGTTTTCACGTCATCCGAGAGTCGTCCCCGTCAATCACAGTTTTCTTTTGTAGCAATCTATCGCATGACAAAATATCTATTTTGTCATGATCTATCGTAAATTTTCCAGCTAAAACTATTAAGTATTAACTAGAGAGAGTTGGCAACACTCCACAACTTCCCTCGTGGCTGCCATAGTCACTACTCTCAGAAATTTATACTGATTGTATAAACCATGCATAGCTGCAAATTTAAAGTTTAGCCTCTCCAAAATTTCAGAAAAATTATAATTATATTAATTGAAATTTTAGAATGAGAGAACTTAGATATAATAAGCCCCTCCAAAAATTTTGTTGAAATTACGTCTATAATACTATTAATATATATATTTTATATATAATATTCAAATACAGTTATATTATAAATAGTAATAATAACTATTAATTAATAGATTAATATAAAATAAAGACAGATTTAGATAGTATAACAATAAAGATACGAATTAAAAATGTGAGTATTAGCTCTAATTAAATTTTACTCAATACAATTACAATGTTCATTTATTATACCTTATAAGGATATTATTTTTCAAGTGGAAAAATACATAATTAACTAGTTTATAGATAATGATCTAATTAAAAAAACGATTGGTTGATAACAACTTTTGAATCATTATTTTGGAACTTATTAACAATGTAAAGTAATGGCAGGAGACAATACTGCTATTTTTATCACTAGATATATCTCGATCCACTACTTTTCCTACCTAGGTTTAAAAATATTCATAACTTATTAAGTACATATATTTATATAAATATAAAAGTCGAGTAGTAAATAGAATGGTACGTGTTATTATTATTATTCATTACAATTGAACAAGGGAAATAATATTCTATTCCCTGTCTTGCATAAATTGTATCTCATTATATAATTTATGGGATCAACCTTCCACACTCTATTGTGGAACGTCCACGTTAAGAGCTAAGCTTTTGAAACTCCCTCTATTTATTTTTTCCTATAATTACTAAAATGTGTTGCAATAACATATATTTTATTGCTTTCACTTAAAAAACTATTTTGCTACTCTCTTACCAAGATGCAAAGGTGCAACAACGAAGAGTTTTGCGTCACTCCCAAAAACTTAGAAAATTATATTGAATTTTATATATAAATATTTGTTTTAAGGTGTGAGGATAGTGAATTTTTCATTAACAATCACCCTTAAAAATGTTATTCTAGTTGCGTCATTGTTAAAACGACCCATTTTATATTAATTTTTGCCAAATTTTATTAAAATTTGCATATGAAAAACTTTCGTTTCAAGAAATTATGTGCGTGGGCCTTAAGTTGTGAAAACTTAACTCTTTCTACCATGGGAACAATTTAAGCAAAAATGTTGAAATTATATTATGTTCACAAATTCGCGGGACACACCCTCCATATCATCAAATAATATTACTAAAATAATACTCTCAAGAGCCACAGTAAACAAATAAAAAATATTATCTATTTTTTACTAATAATTATTAATAGATTATAATCCATTGAATTAACATAATTTTACTATTCGCCTTATTATCACATTTTAATAACTACAAAGACGTTTTAAATTGTATAAAAAAAATTATTTATTGTTTATGTTTATTGTCAACTACCAATAAAAAAATCTTTCATACAATTAGAAAAAATTATTTTTATATAATTTTAGTAAATTAGGACTGGGGTTGCTGCAACACTCTCAGAACTTCCGCTAGTTACACCCATGCCTAATAGGCATTGCCTATATACAATACATCGATGTTAATATCTACGGGTTACGCGACTAATAACTGAAAAAAATCTATATTATATATCTAAATCAACTGAAATATGCCATTTGATTATTGATAGAATGTCTAAATCAAAAAATGACATCTCAGAGAAGTGTTTATAACTATTTCTCTACGATGAAACTTGGTGATTTCATTTAGACGTATAAAAATATTTCTTCCCAATAAATTCGTCCATGTGANACGTATAAAAATATTTCTTCCCAATAAATTCGTCCATGTGAGATATAATTGCAATCTAAAAGTATAAATTAAAAGACATTTTGTAAAAAGCAAATGTAATATTGAAGAAACACGAATGGGTTTGAACGGCTTCAAATTTCATAAACTCACTGACATATCCTTTTACCCTAACTTATAGCACGTCCGTTCAGTTATAATGCTTGTATAGGACGTTATTGGAACTTGTGTTTTTTTAATTGAGTATTTTATTTAAATTTAATGTACAATAAATTAACATTTTATTATTATTTATACAATTTTTTATATTTTAAATAATATTATTAAACATATATTATTTAATTTGCTTGTAATATTAGTACTTATATTAACTAATAAACATTTAATATGAATGACTACGTGATAATTTAGTGCATTTAAATACGAGAACTATTTGCAATTAACATAAAATATAAACTATAAACTACAGTAGTTTAACTACTACTACAACAACAAAAAAATTTAATTAATTTTGTAGATCTTAACGAACAGATTTTTGAAAAAATGATAATAATTTTATAGTAAATATAAAAAATATTTTTTGTTAAATGATCAAGAATTTGTAGAGGTCAAAAAATTCTGAAATATCTTGATGAAAAAATATCTTAGTAATACCCCTTATATTATATTGTTTCATTTCAAAGACCTAATATAATTCTGCATAACAAACTATTTTTCAAAATTTACCTCAAAAAAATTTAAAATGTTAGTAATTTATAATACAAATGTTTATAAGCGTTTACTGCTTAAAAAATAACGGTAATAACACTTCTCTATGAATTATAAATAAGTTGGTATTAATCAAATTTTATAATTGTAACAAGTGAAAATATCAATGTATATTTATTTATTTACCCTAATACATATTTTCTTATGTGTTGTATAGTGATTTTTATGATTGTTTATTATATTTATACCCTATATTTAATTACTTTGCTAAATTGCTGTTAATTTTTATTCATTATGTTTTCTACTGTTTAATTATGTAATGTTCTGTCTAAAGGGGTTCATTTATAAATCAATCAATTAATTAATAAGAACATAGAAAAAGTTAGATCATATTTATTCTGTGGTAAAAGATGCTTCTACATTGCAAATAATAGAGAAGTTGTTTTGGTTGAAGTTGGTTAAACTGTACAAAACGGCGTCATCTCCCCACTTTTTCGAAACAAGTAAAGAACCTTTTTTGACGTAGCTTTGATCTATCGTCAGCGGCCATTTTTGTAGGTGCGTTACCTCGTTGCTTCAAGATTTTACTGTTAGTGAAATAAGTGTTTCTTGCTTGTTGTTTATATTATATTCATTTAATTTTCAATGGCACAAGTTAAAGAAGAAAAAAAATGCGACACATCGTTAAATGGCCCTAATACAGCTCAAAATAATCCTGTTGCAAACCATAAACCCAAACAAGAATTTCATAACAGTGGTGGTCGCGGTGGCGGAAAAGGTAATCGATTCCAACCTTATAGAGGACCCCCAAGAGATCAAAAAGGTTCAAGAGAAAATAATATGGTAATTATCATTCACAATATAAATGCGACACATGATTCATTGGCATAATAGAACGAATAAAATTGTCATGATTCTTGGTTCTATTAGATAGTTCTAATTAATACCATTGTAGAACAACTACTAGATTTCAGATATTATATAGAACACAACATATTTTTCAACTTTATTTGTCGAAAATGTATAAAATATTTATTAACATTCTGTATTGACATTTTATAGCACTATACAACGAAATAGTATCACATAATACAGTCATACTCCTACTAGACTTAATTTCATATTGATTAACTTATTTTTAGCTAATGAAGTATAAAATTTAGATAATAATGGGACTTTTTTTTTTATTATAGAATTTTCTATTAAGTGACATATATCTATGATAATTACTAGAAGTTTTAATAATAATGTTTGATTATCTATTAATTAAAAATGTTAACCTTATCATCACAAATTACTATCCACCTCTGATCAGAATAAATTATTTACACAATTTTAAAATTGATGATGATAACATAGTTCATTTGAATTAATATGAAAGTAAGCATAATGCAA